TCAAAGTCATGTGACTAAAAAACAACATATGGCTACGTCGAATACCATCCTTCTATTTCTAAAAATACATTAAACTGTTGTTTTTTCTTTAAGGTAGGAAAAGGAACGTATGCAACCATATGGATACACCACACAGGATTCAATTACAGGAGTGTGTTCAGAAGCATATTACTTTTTGCTTGGGCACCGATATCAAGAATCATGCAATTTACTATATTGCTATCGACTACTGACCACCTAACATAGTCCAGTCTTTCCATAACACTCACGCTGACACGAGAAACCCCAAATACACGCTCGCACACATGCATGTCCGCTGACATACAGTTAACAGGGGAAAAGACAGGAAGTCTCTGCTGAGATCCTTCAGGAGTCTGAGAATTATGATGGAGGAGGGCTTGGGTTTGGAGGCGGTGACCACACTAACCATTCTACACCTTTCCACAGCGCACAGAGAGCTCACTGTGAACGCAGAGAAACTCTCGCATCCGCTGAGCTGTCGTAAAGATTTCAAATATGAGCGGCGAGATGATTAATGGTCTGAATCATGCTCCACGATAATGGCGTGGATTAATGCAGCCTCTTCAGACCGTGCAGGGGCAAGGAAGATAAATTTTATTACTTATCAAATCATTTTTTGGACGCCTCGTGCAGGTGGGAGTGTTTTCTGCCGGTTCAGAGCCAGCACTGCTTTTAGAAAGGCGAGACTGGGTGTGCGTGGAGCTCAGATGACCTGCGCTGGAGGCTTTGGTTCACGTCGGCTGCGGTTCTTGTGCTAAAAACATGCAACATTTCTGTATACTGTGCACAGTATGCAAATGTCCTGTATAAATGGTCTACTAATAAATTAGCTACATGTGCAGCGCACAACATGAAATGTTTGACCTGATCTCCAATTTCTACTATGATGAATCAATTAAAAGTCTCTTTCTTCACTTGTCATTTGATTGGGAAGACATTTTTACACAAAACTGGATTACATCCTTTTATCTCCAATATGATAACTGGATGCAACTTGTGTATATCTGTATTTATACAATGTTATGAGATCATGTGCCAACGATGTAGCATGCATACTGTTTTAAACGTTTATTTTTGCACAAAGCACCATCTTGTATAACCTACAAAAAATAAGTGCTATATATGAATATGGCTGAATATGGTGCGCATGTGGGATGCACAATTCGGCAATATTTATTCACTATGAACAATGAATTACACAATTAATCAATTACACAATTTAATCTAATGAATTACGCAATTAAGTGGAGATTAATGAATCAAATCAATTTAAAATTAAATGCATATCAAATTTGGAAGAGAAATTACCCCTGAAAGATAATTTAAAGTCATTGTTGTGTTAAATCAGAAAAGCATCAAATAGACATTAAAAAAGAAGCTTTAATAAGATTTACACAAAAACCTTTACTGTAGGCTTCAACGCTATGAGGGTGAACCATACCTTTTTTAATAATATGAAAATTTGAAATAATTTTTTTTAAAACTGCCCGTAGGTGGCGGGAAATGTCAGATTTAAATGAGTAAGTCATTGATTCGTTCAGGAATGAAATACTGTAAATGGCTCTCTTTATGAATGAGTTATCGAATCTTTGGTTGGCACGCTTGATTTGCTCAAAACACGGATATATTCAGAAACAAAACAATGCTCTGACTTTACAGGTAATATTTTCGTTGGTAAAATTGAGCGCAGACACAATATTGTGTCAGAAATATAACTTCTTTCTTCACATTTGCACCATTCGGAACAAAAACAGCACTCATGTGATATTGCTTAAATATATCAAACAAGCAATACTCAATACTCATAAACAGGGGAATTTTTGCACCAATATCCTGAATTTTAGGGCATTCTAACTGCATTACTCACTTGGTCATCACCATCATTGGTCATCACCAATCAACTGTATGAAATGTAAGATGAAAAACAGCAATTCCAAGAGGGTCCTCACACCATTGGAAGCCTCAGTTTACTGCATTTATAATCTAAACACATTATTTTTTCAGATAAAGAATTAATTAAATTAAAATGTTAAATCAACAGCGCTAGTATATATATATATATATATATATATATATATATATACACACACAAAAAGCTTTCTTTCCGTCATATTTCAGAAAGCATTTGAGTAAACAAAATTTTAGGATTTGTCATCAATATTCCTGGTCTGTTTTCCTATACTAGCAGGGAAATTGTACATGTGTAGTAAAGAACAGTTCTGATCTCTCCAGTATAAACCACTGTCCCTCCACAGCTAATTGTGACATCAATGATCCATGTGATGGCAGCGGGGAGCAGTTCCCACTCTGCCGTTTAATCTGCGGGCTGCAAATTTGCACAGGACCATTTTTAAAAACTAACTCCTGCGCTCAACAGCGACACGCCGTTCCACTCTCTCAAGTCTGCTAATAAAACTTGGACAGCACATCAGAGCCGGGCGATGTCACGGCGCGCAGTGGAGATTAATGGACGAGGAAGATGCGATGGAGAGAACATTTCACTACAACGGGGCTTCAAAAGACACTCAACAGGCATCAGCTCTATTTTTACACCGTCATCATCACGCAGGCTGACAGACACGCAGACGGAGACCAGAGAAGAAAAAGAACAAAACTAAACGGAAAAAGAACAAAGAGAGTTCATGTTCCTCTGAAATGCATATATCATGAAGAGTGATGTATCCCACAACAAAAACAGATACAGGATGTCTTCTTTCGCCTCTTTCTTTCTTACCATTTTTTGTGGTCTCATACTAGTTAATTTCCTTCACTTTAAATCTCTGGATCACAGTAACGGCTGTTGATTGTGCAGCATTTTGTTAGACATCAAATGATCCCATCTGCTCGTCGTCTTGAAAATATCATTTAAACAAGATGACGGGCTCCATTTATCACACACTGAGTACATCCAAATCTGCTCTAGTGCAATTGAGAAGCCATGAGATTGGATGAAGTATCTTCACTAAAATGCACACAAACGGTCCAAGTGTGGCTCGATGAGTTTCATCGAAGTCAGTTCTCGCTCATGACAATTTACTAGACAAACTGATAACCACAGTAGAACACAAAATACACGATATTTAATAGCTACTCTGAAAAACATTTGATATTTAATATATATTGGACCAGTTTGACTGTGATTTCCCAATATAATGCGTCAAAAATATGCAAGTTACACGTTTGTCGATGGTCGAGACCAGAGAATGTGTCCGAAACCAACATGCTGAACTAATTTATGTGTATTTATTATTATTTTGCATAGTGGTAATGTTAATGGGTAATAGTCTGTAGAGACACAACAAAATGCATTTTCAGGAGACCCAATATTGGCTTGAAAAAAAAAAAAAAAATTCCAAGACTGGTTAGGAAACTACGCAAAAAGTTTATTTAGATTATTGTATTTTCTGCACCACTTGACACTATCATACTGCAGTTGGTTACGACACGGTGTAAGGCCACACTTTTGACATTATTCTTTCTTTTTTTTTACAAGACTTGACATGTATAACCAGGAATTTTCTCTCCTCTGAACCATTATCTGCCCTACATCTTTACGCACATCTGTCTCTTAAAAAAAAAAAAGAAAAAGAAAAACACTCCATTTATGTACCACTATGTCAGACTCATCCCCTGTCACTCAAATCCTCCTAATCCAGAGGCTGCAACCGTATACAGCACTCACCCTAACCATGGGCCACGTCAAACACCTTCAGGCTTGTTATCCATTTTCGCATCTAAATGACTATAAATGACAATTAATGCCAAACGGCTGCTTGAAATGTTTCTTTCTGCCGTGAATTAAAAGCATAAAAACATATCCGAGAGGGACAGGCGAACTGAGGGTACTTAACCCTTCCTATGTTCACTCCTAACTTTGACCCAGAAGTAAAACTGCCCGAAAAGACCTGATTTAGGACCACCGCGTGTAACCTTTACCACTGACCTGAACTATTAGCATGTCAGGAGAGCAACCGGCCTCTGACCGGCTCTTAACCAGATTCCCCCCCGCTGTGATTGACAGTGAGCTGGAGGGGGGCGCGGGCTGCCCTCCTGATCTCAGGCCTGTGGGTGAGAGCTGAGCCCCACAGCTATCTGCACTACTGACACCCATTTCCTGTGGAATGCTTCTGCTATGCAATGCGCTGATAGCCTGTCATTCAGAGAAACGGCGAGGGAGGGGTGTGCCCGTGAACATGAATGAGCTAAAGTGAGGATGTGTGTGTTGGTTTGTTTTTCTGTGGCCGCTGGGTTTTGTATACACGCATGCGGCTGGTTTATATCGCGAACTCGACTAGTAGTGTGTGTTTGAGCAATAGTGTGCATGCATTTGCAGGTGGTTTGTGGGAACCTGGAGGTGGAGTCAAATAATCTTAAAATTGCCATTCTTGATGGGTCTGCGGCCACACATCTGTAGCCTGTTTGCATCTCGTTCCCAACGTGTCTTGGTTTGATTCCTCTAGAACGTGTTCTTTAGCCTTGAACTGCTAAGCAGGACTACTACAGCAAGGTCAGCGGTACTATGAACACATCATCAGGATATCTTATATTTCTGTGCAATCACGCCCCTCTTAAGAGTATATTCCGGGTTAATGTCAACCTAACGTCTATGGACAGCATCTGTGGCATGCTTTCAATTATCTTAAGTTTGTAAAAATGCATAAAAACCATTTTTACAGTAAAACACATTGAGAGCCTGGAAGGAAGTTCAAACGATGAAAAGCAAAGCTCTTATTTAGGCTAAAACACAATTCGTCGGTGAAACAAAAATGTTTGTTACTTGAGCTATAAAGTGGAAATTGTCCCTTTGATGTGGGGCTGACGAATGTCTGGTTGAGCTACACCAATGTAATTCCTGTGGGTGAGGTTGAAGAACTCCACTAGGAAACTAGGAGGACTGAGGTCTGTGTTCATTTTAGTCTATGGTTTTGCCTCGTGCCATGGTCTGGGGTCTAGACGTCCAGCCTGTTGGTTGTTCTCACCTGCTGTTTCAGCTGATGCACCAATCGGTCTTTCTCCCTCTTCAGCAAAGCCACTTCATCTTGAGTCTTCTTCTTCTTCGAGGACGACAGCTCTAGAAGAGCGATGTTGGCGTCCTTCTCGCTGATGGCTGCCAACAGCGCCTCCTGCCTGTTTGGAGGAGACAACACACAATTAGTATTCAGACATCTTTGAACACGACGGTGTTGACAAATACACCTTAAAACACATAGACAGATTGAGCCACGTTGCAAATTACTCTACAAATACACACCCATGACCGCAATACATCAGTAGTACTGCGCTTTATTGAATTTTCAGCAGTCATTACTCCATTTATGTGGAGTGTGACCGTGATAGCAAGCACCACAAATAATTAATTCTACGACTGGCCATCAGTCAAGTGCAGTTGTTTCAGGGAGTGAGCCCTGTTAGGTCAAACATGCGGTAACAGCGTGAGAGGGAGGGTGACCGTCTTTCCCGGCAGCCGAGATGGTCAAAGTCTTTAGTGTACTGAAGAATACAGGCAGCAGACTGGAAAATGTCTGGGTTGGCGTTAGCCACGTGTGCTAGAGTATCAGTGGTGAAGTGTGTGTCAAATCATCTTCCCTTTGCCTCTCTTTCTTTTCCTCCCTCTCATTTTCTGTATGACCTCTAATTCACAGAAACTCATTGGAACCGTTCCAAAACTTAGTGAGCTGCCTCACTCGCTACTGTCTGTCTAGATGGTTACCTTCTACGGTAGCATGGTAAGTGAAAAAGAGCCTCAAAAGGGATTAATTTGGAAAACTCTACGTAGGCATCAACTCTGTACAACATAAAAACAGAATTTTTAACATGAACTGGACAAGTGGTCTGTGTTCAAAATCACTAAGTAGGGCACTATAAGAGGGGACAGCCAAATGTAGTGGTGTCCGAAATCACAGTGGATGTTATAGAGTTCACGCATTCAATCCCATAATGCACCACAGAAACAAGCTTAAAACCAATGTATGCTCACCGCAATACCCATAAGGCACTATGTGAGTACCACGCCAAATTAATTCCTGCGTCTCGCCAAAAGATGGCTCCCGCCACTGAATCACCCATCCATCCGTGAGTACAGTGTAATATTAAACTAAATAAAATTGCTTTTTAATTGATTATTACATTGTTTAATTAAGGTTTATACATGCTAGTTTCCATGACAGTGTTCAAGATAAATCTTGTCATTGCTAGATTTCATTCTAGACTCTCCTGTTCGAACTCGTTCATCAAAATGAACATATCGTTTTCCGAGTCAATTCATTCATTTCGTTCGTTGAATGAACCAAATGACACAAAAAAGATTTATTTATTTTGATGAACGAGTTTGAACAGGAGAGTCACGAACACGCATCACAGAACAGAGCAAGGCGACCATTTGAGCTTATAAAACGTAATAAAATGTTTTTTTTTTTTTAAATGAGCGGCCGTTTTGCTAGATAAGACCCTTATTCATCGTCTGGAATCGTTTAAAGCCCTTTGAACAGTTTGCACTGAAACTGTCTTTTGGACCTTGAACCGTTTGGTTACCAGTAAAGTGCATTATATGGAGAAAAATCCTGGAAAGTTTTTCCTCAAAAACCTTAATTTCTTTTTCGACTGAAGAAAGAATGACATGGACATCTCGGATGACATGGGGGTGAGTAAATTATCCGCAAATGTTTTTTTTTTAAAAGTGAACTTCCTCTAATCCCCCACTACTGTAAGTTGCCTACTCTGTAAAAGATGCATGCACCACAAATTTGGCCAACATAATTGTGTCAGGAATCTGAATATACAACACACTAGTTTTGCAGCTCCTCTCTATTCTTCTATTTTAATCACAGGCTTCCTGAGAATAAGATTTTTCTCTTATCAGTTTTCCAATCGCTGGCAAAACCTTTCTTTTTTTTCTGTCTGTTTCGTTGTGTTCTCTTTGGTTCCTTGGAGGAACTGGCTGACCTGATTCTATCCAGAGTGACATCACAGCGCTAGAAAGAAGCCTATGTACCTGACAGAAGCGCATATACACACACACACACTGTGTGATGCCCAAGGGTTGCCATTTAACTCTTAATTCTGTCATTTTGACCATCAAAAGCAATGAAGATGGGATGTATCCCACAAACACACGGGCCACCCAGGTCTGTAAAAACCCACCATGTCCTGGCGCAAACTAATAAAATGAAAGCTGGTGATGTTCCAGGAGGCTTCTGAGCACTAACATGTCCTGTCAGAAATGCCTTTTAATACACTGACCTCCTGACTAGCCGTGCTCATTATGGTCAGGTTCAGACCACAGGCAGCAGCTGCCCCCGAGGTGAGTCAGTTTACTTTGGGCAAAAAGGAACTTCCCCTTCAGCTCCATAACCTCCCTGCCTGGTCCCGATGAGCCCTTCTCTATCTGCCCTGCCAAAATACATGAGGACGGCACTGGCTAAAAATCAAAATCAAAGGGAAAGATGAGGTGAAAAGAGAAACCCAGGGAGGGCGGCATGAGGAGAGGCAAACAACAGGAAGTGGAAGGATCTGCACTGGGATATTGAGGATAAGGAGTCTGAAATGATGGATGAGAATGTTCGAATGTCCATGTGAACACGCTCACACATGCGATATTCGGGTCATGATAACATGCATTTTCAGACCCACACTTTTTATGAAAAGAGAGAGATAGATGGAAATCTAAAGCAGAAGAGAAAACCGAATCTGAATTCTTCTGTCTCGCATATTTTCCCACATTTACCATTTAGATTAATCTTTTAACAAGGATCCTCTGCGATCTAATCTTTCTTATATGCTGGGTGTGTTGATATCACGAGTGTCCACGGGAAGAGAAGAAGCCTGGGAGAGAAATTAATCCTTTTATTTGGGTAAAAGTGGATGAATTATATTGTTAAAAAGTGTCAGTAAAGATATTCAACATTAGTAATAAGAAGATACAGTATATTTTAAAGCTCAAAATCGATATGATTGATTTTAGAATGATTTCTGAAGGATCATGTGACAGTGTAACTAAAGAGAGAGAGAGAGAGAGAGAGAGAGAGAGAGACTAAATTAAATTATTAAAGAAATTGAAACATTTTATATAAAGATTTATATATTATCAAAATTTTAAACATTTTAATTTTCTCCCCCAATCCTTACTATTTGCTTACAAATATTGATAAAAATTGTGGTTAAACGGATAGATCCATTATGGTTAAAAATTGTTAAAATCTCTGTAGTATCATCTTTTTTAAGTTGTAGCAGGTAAATCTCCAACAATGCTTTATTTGTGTGGCACATGGCATGTCTGACTATGTAAGGTGATCCAAACATACTGTTTTCATTTGTGTTAAGATAGTGCCTTAGAAGGTAACCTCCAATGGAGGTAGAAGAGCTTGTGTTCCTGTACTAAAAGAAGACAAAGCCTCTTATCAGAAGCACAGAGACACAATGGGCCCCACACATTTGTTCTGAGGGAGATAGGGAAGAGACCATATTGATCACTAAGAGGTCAAGTGGCCAATCACCTTTTCTCACGACAAAGCCAATCGAAGAGAGGGGAAGCGGCCCATCAATCAACATCTCTCATCACCGCCCTCAACACTCAATTTCCTCTCTCTGGACTGCATTCTTTTCAGCTTCTTCTCAGAAGTGCTCCAGCATGCCTAAAAAAAGCCACCTCCCTCTGTTCTCTATCGGTTTGGTGTTTCTATGGGTGTGTAAGCCAATGGAGAGATAATGAATAGGCAAGGTGGTGGGGAGATTTATGCCTGTTTTTGACGGGGACGCAGTGTGCCGGTTAAGCCACCGGAGCGGGGAACACTGCACAGAATGCCTGGAATGACCGGGATGGCGGGTTCTAAACATGACTTATCACTGCCATTCCTACCGTATGACGACGGGCCGACGTAAATGATGGCAAAATGAGGGAGGAATGTTAAACGAAAGCAGATCTGAGGTCGGGCTACTTTCAGCACTTGAAATTTTAATGTTTGCCTCAACCATGACCATTCTGGAGGAGATAAGCTTCTTGGAAACACAAAAGAGTAGAAATGTGAAGCTTGGACAAAATACTGTGGGGACGGACAGATTAATGGATGGGAAAATTGACATTTCGAAATATTGTGATATTTTACCGTATATTTTTCCCTCAAAACAAGTCTGTGAAAAAGAATTTAATTGATGGATGGTTAGTTGGAGCAATTTATGAAGGGATATGTGGATGGAGAGACCGATAATCCTTCACTCTAAAAAATGCTGGGTTGTTTTAACCCAATTTTGGGTCAAATATGGACAAACCCAGCCATTGGGTTACATTTTTAAATTACATTTTTAACCCAATGGCTGGGTTTGTTCATATTTTACCCAAAATTGGGTTAAAACCGCCCAGCATTTTTTAGAGTGTAGGAAGGAATGGATGGACAGATAGAGAGGCGGTCAGGTGGAAAGATATATCAATAGATGGACAGATAGAGGAGATGGATGGACAGACAGACAGACAGAGAGATATGATTGGATAATTGAGGGATAAATGAACAGATGGCTAAAGAAAGGTGGATGGATAGATGGCCAGAGAGATATATCTGTATAGGTAGGTGGATGGTTGGACAAATGAACATTGGATGGATGAATGAATGATTGGATGGGTGGGTTGATAAAGAGATATATGAATGGATGGATAATGGATGGATGGTTGAATGAAAAGACCCATGGATGGATGAATTGATGGCTAGAAAGATATTTATGTAAAGTAAAGGTAGGTAGGTGGGTCGGTGGGTTTGTGGATGGATGGATGGATGGAAAGAAGACCAAACCCAAAATCACAGGGCTGCTTTTAGCGCAAAAATCTCCCTTTTCCCCCCGCATTTCACAGACTCATATCTATGCAATATCTTAAATGTCCATTTCTTTAACACTTCAATATTTGTGGGCCGCTGATTTGAAGGAGAGGAATTTAGAGGACACCATTAGCAGGGAGGGAAGAGTTCAGAGAACGTTATCAGCAGAATCCATCAGTACTAAGTCCTACCTGATACTGCCTGATCTAGCACATAAAAATAAAATACAGGCCAGCCGCGTTAAACAAACTGAGTGTTGGAGGAGTCCCAGCACATTAAAAAAATAAAAATAACCCTAACTCTCCATCATTCCCTGGCCCGGAG